TTTAAAAATTTACGGGCTTTACCATAATTTACTTACCTTAGTCACGCAGAACAGAAGGCCTAATCCAAGTGCTAAGACCACAGGGCAAACAAGGACCTATCCACAATATTCTCGAGTTAATATCTATAAAGAAATTTTATTCCTTTATTTATTTTCATTTCTGCTTTTCTATCCGGAAATTAAGCATTAACCGGGATTGGGTATTTATCTATGTATCTACCATTATATAATTACCCATATACCATTTTCCTCAATTTCATGGACAAGCAATGGGGAAACCGGCCTTGACAAAAATGGCCAACTCACGGGGTTCTCCCCTTTCCTCATGGACACACACACACAACAGCCAAAACCCCCTAATTTCCTACACAATTCATCAACCAAACCCATGCTCAAGTTGTCGAAATCCTCCCTATTTCAACAAAACTCTCGGACAACTCAAGCCCATTTCATATAGCCTAGCCACTTAAACTCAAATCAGCACTTAAACAACCAATTTCAAGAGATTAAAGAAGCCAACTTACCAGAAATGCTCAACAAGCAAAGCTGGAGCTGACGGTAAAGGGAAGAGCCGGCGGGAAACTTGGAGGACTTCCACGGGGCCACTAGCAATTTAAGGAACTACAAGGTTAGAGTGACCCAACATAAATCAAGGTTGAAAAGAGGAGTTTCTGGACTGATTTTTACCAGGAAAACCGAACTCACACCAAGCTATGGCCGGCGGCAGGGAAGAGAGAAGACAGCAGATCCGAAATTCCTGGGTTGAGGGAGAGAGTTTTAAGCCTTAAATTTTGTTGTTCAACAAGAAAAGGGAAGGAATTTACCAAGATCTTACCAAGTTTCCAAGAGGAGTAGACGGTGGTGAAGGCTGGTGGTGTTCGACTGCAGGGAGAAAGAAAACAGAGCAGACACGAAAATGGTTGGGAAGAAAGAAAGAAAGAAGAAAAAGAAAAAAAGAAATGAGTCAGCCGGCCTTATCCAATAAGAATTTAACCCCTTTGAAGTTTGAAAAATTGACAATTAGGTCCATTAATAATGTTTCTTCACCATTAGACCCCTAACTCAACTTAATATGCTTGAAATTTTTGGGGTATTACAATTATACTATGTTTTCTAGTAGTGTTAATTAGGTAACAAAGGTTAACTTTTGCTTTTTTAATATAAATTTACGGTGAAAAAATATATTTATTACAGTTTTAATTTATACTTAGGTACAGGTTAGAAAAACACTTTATAAAAATAATGTACAATAGTTATAATATTATGTATAATCTTACATTTAAAATCAAGACATATAATTAACTAGATGGACATATATAATATTAATTATAGGTACACTTTTAAATAAAAATAATCAATCATATAATAACTCGTTATTATTTTAAATTTATAATACTATATAATATTATAACCACATATTTTTGTTATAAAAACTAAAATCAAAACTACTAATGCGCTCTCTCATGTGGCTGCAGTGGCGACCACATTTCTTTAAAATGAGAAACAAGTGAAATACACTTCAATCCACAAGTTAAGTCACAGACTCGACTTTTTTCGAAGATATACTAACCTTATATTATTTTTCTTCCCGTAAAAAAAAAAAAAAATCAAAACCAGCTATCATATTCGTAGTCTAAATGGATCAAACTCTAATTCTCCAATGCAGTCAGTATAAGTCTTTTCAAAAGCATATTCAACGATGCCTCCAAAAACACTTGCGCGTGCAATGGAAGATAAATTTAGGAGGTCGTGTCATGTTGCATGCATGTGTGATAAGTAACTTTCTTTTTATTATTATTATTATTTAGTCCAACTTTTGAAAAATAAATTACTGTAAAAATTGAAACTAGATTAAACATAGATTTTTCTTTTGTTTAAAAAAAGCTTTTTGATGTTTTATTGTATTTGGTTGGGCATGAAAATACAGTAAATTTCCAATTCTTTATTTATTTATTTAGTGAACAAAGATTATAAATAATCCTCTTCCTCCCAAGAAAGAAAATGCATGCTTCGGATGGAGTGTTGAATTTTAGATTATTGAACTTGAAGTAATAATGATTCTTTTCTTATGGTTATACCTATACATAACACAGACACATGTCGAAACCTATTGGTTGTTTTTACTTGCCCTATGAAACCATTTGGCTCTTGTTTGATGATTTAATAGATATCAATTTATATGTGAATTTAAAACACTATATTTATATAGAATTTTGATTAATTATTTTTTATTTTTAATT